TAATGTCCTCGTTCCTGCCAAAGCAGGAAGATCTCAAGTTGAGCTCTGTCTAGCAAAGTTCCTATGTATTCCAACTGTCTATGAGAGACAAGTAAGGGGTTGCTTTGTGTCATTTATCATGACTTCTAATCACTCTAGTGCTTTGGTGGGGACATGTAGTGATTCTTAGACAACTTATTCAGCAGTGTCCTTGGTCAGCCAAACATTCCAACAGGAGAAAATATGTAATCCCAATCCGGTACATATAGTCCTTACTATAGTCATAAGCATTTCATGAAAACGTGGTGCTGAAGCCAGCCCATAAATCAATACACAGAAATAATCCTATTCCTCTATGAAGATGACCTCACTCAAATATCTGTGACTCTCAGGATGCTTCTGTGGGGGCAGAGATTTCAGGTAACCCCCACTAAACCTGATGGGTGTCTGGGTGACCCTCTCCAAACAAGTCTTGTAAATCATGCTGGTCATATTTGACGCCAAGATTTAAAATCCATCTACCTTGGTCTTCTACGAGAGAAACCTTCCTGGTAAAGTCACATTTCTTGAAGCCACTGAGCTGCCTGTCTTCCTCCTTTGCAGGTGAGGAGGACATCATACCAAAATAGATAAAACTAAAACCTGTGCTGACTGCTCAAAATATGCTGATGCACTCGTGAGTGCGCTGATGGCTCACAAGCTGAGTACTGATTAACCAAAACTCCAAAAGAATTCATCCAAAAGCTGCTCAATTTAAAACTTTGATGCAGGCCTCAAAGCATCAAGTATTAACGGATGATTCAGTGAGCACCTGGTTCTATGAGCAAAGCCTCAACATATCAGAGCCTCAATGCAAATGCACCGAGACAATGATTCTGCATAATGAAAAAACTTTCCAAAAGAAAAAACAAACAAACAAAACCAGTGAGATAGGGGGTACTGACCCTAAGAGAGACAGCAGATTAGACAGTATGATTCAAAGGCCTGGACAACATTCAGTGCTCTGGGATCATGCAGCCTGAAGCATCAACAAACTGGCAGGAAGTTACATATCAGAAAAGGATACTATATTGATTAAAAAACAGAATATACAATTCCCTTGTCTGCTGGCTTTCCAAATTGGACCTACTAGAACTTTTAAACAATGGCAACTGGTGGTGCACAACAGACCAGTAAAAGGGAGGAATCTTGCATCCAGTACTGCAGATAGCCAAAATGTTTACAATTGGTGAGGTCAACCCTGCCTTCTGTTGCAAGCACAAGACCCAAAAGCAAGACCTCACCAGTCTGGTCTAAAAATGGATACTGACCGTCAAAAGGCAAGTCCTCAATAGACTGCTAAATGTCCAGAGCTATCCCAAAATCACAAAACCAGGATGCCCTTCTCATTATAACTGTGTAGGCCACAGTCCTCAAGGAAGCATATGCAGCTTCTAGAGCAGACTAGAATGAAGTCTTTGCCACAACCTATTTCTCAGTTAATGAGGCCCTGAATGATTCCTTCATATCATCCAGCAATTTGTCTGACAACTTTGACATCAGCTCCCCATTAAGAAAATCATATTTTGCAAGAAGGGCTTGCTGTCCTCATCTGGAGCAAAGTAGTAGAATAAATCTTTCTCCTTAATGCATCCAGTCTCTTAGCCACCTTTTCTTTTGGGGTAGACTTGAATTTCCCCTGCCACGATCTCTCATTAGCAGCTGTGACAACTAGGGAGTTTGGTGCTTGGTGGAAGTAAAAAACCCACAAACCCCTGAGATGGGACATGGTACTGTTTATCAGTATGTTTGGCTATTGGAGTGGTTTGAGCCAGGTTTTCTCCGGTTGCAGAAGGGCATCATTAATCAGAAGGGCTACACCCTTCCTGGCATAGATTCTTGGAAGATATTCAGTAACTTTGGGTATTTTCCTGTACCAGTTCAGGTTCAATACCTAGGGCGGTAGCCATTTTCCTAAGTCTTGATAGGATTTAAAATCCTCCAGGACTGGAGAAGACAAAGTCAGCAGTGTTGAACTGTTCGGAGAGGATGAAGACAGAATGGTTCTTCTCGAGACAAAAGTTGATTGTCTGTCAAGGGCTCCCCATCAAGAAGGAGGACAGATATTGTGCCTTTTCTTAATGTGCTCCTCACCAAGACACAATAAGCAGCATGTATGCAGGTCACTAGTAGGAATAGACACCTCACACCACAAGCAGCGCTTAAAATCCAGAAAACATTACATAACCCACTAAAACTAACACTATAGAATCATAGAATATAAGGGTTGGAAGGGACCCCAGAAGGTCATCTAGTCCAACCCCCTGCTCGAAGCAGGACCAATTCCCAGTTAAATCATCCCAGCCAGGGCTTTGTCAAGCCTGACCTTAAAAACCTCTAAGGAAGGAGATTCTACCACCTCCCTAGGTAACGCATTCCAGTGTTTCACCACCCTCTTAGTGAAAAAGTTTTTCCTAATATCCAATCTAAACCTCCCCCACTGCAGCTTGAGACCATTACTCCTCGTTCTGTCATCTGATACCATTGAGAACAGTCTAGAGCCATCCTCTTTGGAACCCCCTTTCAGGTAGTTGAAAGCAGCTATCAAATCCCCCCTCATTCTTCTCTTCTGCAGGCTAAACAATCCCAGCTCCCTCAGCCTCTCCTCATAACTCATGTGTTCCAGACCCCTAATCATTTTTGTTGCCCTTCACTGGACTCTCTCCAATTTATCCACATCCTTCTTGAAGTGTGGGGCCCAAAACTGGACACAGTACTCCAGATGAGGCCTCACCAATGTCGAATAGAGGGGAACGATCACGTCCCTCGATCTGCTCGCTATGCCCCTACTTATACATCCCAAAATGCCATTGGCCTTCTTGGCAACAAGGGCACACTGCTGACTCATATACAGCTTCTCGTCCACTGTCACCCCTAGGTCCTTTTCCGCAGAACTGCTGCCTAGCCATTCGGTCCCTAGTCTGTAGCTGTGCATTGGGTTCTTCCGTCCTAAGTGCAGGACCCTGCACTTATCCTTATTGAACCTCATCAGATTTCTTTTGGCCCAATCCTCCAATTTGTCTAGGTCCTTCTGTATCCTATCCTACAGGGATAGGACTACACTATACTTACAAGTACTAACCATTTACACCACAAAGATTCAGCAAATAGCTATGATGCAGAAAATAAACGATGAGGAGAGAACTGCACAGAGAGCTCTAACATAGGCCAGTGGCAAGAAGAAGGAACTGAGAGGGTTCAGGGTGGTGCCTTTATATAGCCTTTGGAGGGACCATGAGGCAGCACAGGGCACATGTGCCTCCCCAACAGCTACTGCTGCAGGGAAAAAGGTTTTGGGCTCCGAGTGTCCTCCAGATCTTCTGCAAGACTACGGTTAACTCCTCACTTAAAGTCGTCCCAGTTAATGCTGTTTCACTGCTGATCAATTAGAGAACATGCTCGTTTAAAGTTGCGCAATGCTCCCTTATAACGTTATTTGGCAGCTGCTTGCTTTGTCCACTGCTTGCAGAAAGAGCAGCCCACTGGAGCAAGCAATTGGGGGCTTGGAACCCGCTCCCCTAAGTTCCCTGTGCAGCAGCTGCCCAGCAGGCTATCAATTGCCAGGCAGTTCAACTGTCCCTCCGCCCACTGCCCTCTGCCTTGGAGCTGCTCCTGGGAGCCTCCTGCTTGCTGTGCAAGGGCGGGGAGGGAAAGGGAGGGAAGAGGGGTGCTAATGTCAGGATGTCCCCCTCTGATCCTTTATCCCATCTCCACAGAAACCCAGGGGGGAGGGGGGGCAGTACAAGGCTCAGGATGAAGGGAGCTTGCTGGCAGCAGCAGCTGTCTCAACTTGCTGATCTACTTAAAAAGGCAGTGTACTTAGAGTGGGGTCAGTGTACTTAAAGAGGCAATGCGCATGTCTCTCTCTCACTCACACACACACACACACACAGTGTCTCTCTGCCAGGCTGTCTCCCCTCCCGCCATTCGCTGCCTTGTAAAGTGTGAGGCTACATTAACAGCAATGTGTTAACCCTTGAGGGCTCAGCTGAGCGCTAGTTCATTTAGCAGTAAAGCATTACCTGGGAAATATCCCACCCTTTTCCACCCTCTGACTCCACCACCTCAACCAAGCTTCACAATCATCATTGCTGTGTACGGTATTAAATTGTTTGTTTAAAACTTATAGTGTGTCTTTTATAGCCTTTTGTCTGGCGAAAAAAATTTCTCTGGAACCTAATCTCCCCTCCTCCCCCCATTTACATTAATTCTTATGGGGAAATTGGTTTCGCTTAAAGCAGCATTTTTCAGAAACATAACTACAACATTAAGCAAGGAGTTACTGTACTTAAATTTACTGTCAAATGTGAACCAAGGCTGGAATAAGCACACATACTCTCACCAATTCAGAACACTTACAACTTCCTTGTATCATTTGTTTCTAAATCCTTTAAAAGTGAGGAGCCAGGATGCATGCCATTAGTTAGCAAGGTATCCCAATGTAATATTTTTGTTTTCACATTCCAGTATGTTAATATAAACTGAAGTTGTTACAGATGTCTGCTTGATTGAAATGTAGTTATTGCAAGTGAAGCACAACTGAAAATTACATTAGTGAATACATTAAATCTTGTTCTGTACGTTATTACCACCCAAGTTATTTTTAAGATTTCTTTTCTTAGTTTTATTCCAAATGTAGGGCAAATCAGATCCATAAACACCGTCAATGTGATGTCTGAGCAGAGTTGATATTAAACTGGGACAGTTAAGGACTTAGGGTGAAAGATAACATTCTGGTCACCCTAATATCAGGAGTACCTGCCTCTCCAGATATCCTTGGGATAGATTTTTACGACAATAAGGGGCACTCTACAATGATATCTGGCCCCCTCATCACCAAAACGCCAAATGAAAAATATTAGCTACTAAATTATTTCTCTGCATACACCTATTGCCGTTTACACTGAGATTTTATTGTAACTTAAAACACCAGTTTTATTCTTGGATATGGAACACAAAATTGAATAAAGCTAATCACTCACCAGTTACCCCATCCTTGAAATCCCGCAGCCTGGAGTACATGTACAGCAAATTGACAGATATACACAAAGAAGAACACAAAGAATCTGAAAGAACTGTCACTCCTGAAAGAGAAAACATTAAAGAAGCTGGTCAGGAAGTTAAAATCCTATTCAAATACACAACTACATTACCGAAGTAACTTTTTCAACCATACAAATTATTGGAGAACAGATTTTATAGACTGATTTAGACCATCTTTAAACACCAAATGGTAATTCTTTATATCTACATGAGGTTCTACTCTGAAAAGTGATTATGTAAAAATGTCATCTTCTTAATTCTGCTTATCTGTATTTAGAATCATAGAAGTGGTACGGCTGGAAGGGACTTCATAAAGTTCTCAAGTCCAGCCCCCTGCACTGAGGCAGGACCAAGCATTTCTAGGCCATCCCTGAGAGGTGTCTGTCTAACCGGTTCTTAAAAACTTCCTACAATGGTGATTCCACAACCTTCCTTGGAAGCCTATTCCTGTGCTTAACTATCCTTATAGCTAGTTTTCCCCAATATCTACCCTAAATCTCTCTTGCTACAGTTGAAGCTGATTACTTCTAGTCCTACCTTCAGTGGACATGGAGAACAACTGATCACCATCCTTTTATAACAGTCGTTAACATATTTGATTATTGTTATCAGGCCCCCCGCCTCAGTCTTCTTTTCTATAACCATACATGGCCAGGTTTTTTTAACCTTTCCTCACAGTTCAGGTTTTCTAAGCCTTTTATCATTTTTGTTGCTCTCCTCCTGACCCTCTCCAGCTTGTCCACATCTTTCCTAAAGTGTGGAGTCCAGAACTGGACACAGTACTCCAGCTAAGGCCTCGCAAGTGCCAAGTAAAGCAGGACAATTACTGCCTTTGTCTTACATACAACACTCCCGTTAATACATACCAGAATAAGAGCCTTTTGTAATTGCATCACATTCAATTTGTAATCCACTATAACCCCCAGATCCTTTTTAGCAGTATTAACAACTAGCCAATTATTCCCCATTTGGTAGTTGTGAATTTGATTTTTCCTTCATAAAAGTAGTACTTTTTGCACTGGTCTTTACTCAATTTCATCTTGTTGATTTCAGACCAATCTCCAATTTAACAAGGTTGTTTTTATTCTAATCCTATCCTCCAAAGTGCTAGCAACCTCTCCCAGCGTGGTGTCATTAGCAAATTTTACAAGCATACTGTCCACCCCATTATCCAAGTCACTAATGAAGATATTGAATAGTACCAGACCAAGGTGAGAGACTGCTCTAGGACCCCACTAGATACATCCCCCCAGTGTGATAGAGAACCACTCTTTGTGTAAAGTCTTTCAACCAGTTGTGCGCCCACCTTATTGTAATTTCATCTAGCTAGACCACATTTCCATAGTTTGCTTATGAGAATGTCATATGGGGCTGTGTTAAAGGCCTTACTAAAATCAAGACATATCACACCTACACAGCTTCCCCCGATCTACTAGGTCAGTAACCCTCTCAAAGAAGAAAATCAGGTTAATTTGGCATGATTTGTTCTTGACAAATCCATGTTGGCTGTTCCTTATAATCCTATCATCCTCTAGGTGCTTTCAAACAGATTGTTTAATAATTTGCTCCAGTATCTTTCCAGGTATCAAAGTCAGGCTGACTAGTCCACAGTTCTTCTTTGCTCCCCCTTTTAAAGATAAGTATTATGTTTGCCCCTCTCCAGTCCTCCGGGACCTCATGCATCCTCCATGAATTCTCAAAGATAATAGTTAATGGTCCTGGGATTGCTTCAGCTAGTTCCAAAAGTACCCCAGGATGAATTTCATCACGCCCTGCCAACTTGAATATTTCAAATTTATTTAAATGTTAACTAACTGTTCTTTCCCTATTTTGGATTGCATTTCTTCACCCTTGTTGTTAATATTGTGTTGAGTATCAGGTCACCTAAAGTATTTACAGAACCTTTTTTATTGCCTTTTATGTCCCTTCCTAGGTTTAAGTCATTTGTGCCTCAGCCTTTCTGATTTTGTTTCTATATATATGCTTGTGCTACTCTTTTGTACTCATCCTTGGTAACTTGTTATGTTGCCACTTTTTGTAGGATCCCTTTTAGATTTTTACATCATTGAAAAGCTATGATGGAGTTATATCAGCCTTTTACTATTCTTCCTATCTTTCCTTTGTACTGGGATAATTTGTCTTTAATATTGTCTACTTTAGAAACTGCCAGCTCTCCTGAACTCCTGTGTCCCTTAGATCTTCTTCCCATAGGACCATACCTACCAGTTCTCCGTATTTGTTAAAGTCTGTTTTTTTGAAATTCATTGTCCTTATTCTGCTGGTCTCACTCCTTCCTTTCCTTAGAATCATGAAATCTATCATTTCATGATCATTTTCACCCAAATTTCCTTTAACCTTCAGATTGCCTTCCACCTTTAGGCCTTGTTTACACTTGTGGCAGTGTCTCGGGTACGTATAACTACGTTCCACAGTAAAAAGCAGGCTGCGTCCAGACTGTGTTGTTTACCTACACATGGTAGTGAAAAGCTCTGGCAGGAGGGAGAAAGAGGAGAAAGGTTCCAGCAACAGGGAGGCAGCAGGACACTACACTACTAAAAAGAGCAGTGTAGACATAGGAAACTCTGCTTGGCGTCTAGAGAGCCATGAATGGTTTATATACCATAGGCTTCTGGCATGTCTGTATTCTACTTGCCTAAGCAGTGCCTCATCATCTACACTGCTATATATACCCATCCTAGCTGGGTGTGCAGTGTCTGTACTCTGCACGCTGCCATAAGCATAAACCTACCCTTAGATTAATTTTGTATCTGCTTACAGTGACAAAAACAAGCCTTTACTGGTTTTGCCTCCATAGTTATTGAACAGCCAACAAAGCTCTGAGAGGGGAAACTAGACTCTATTCCTATCTGTGCGTCTTCAACAGAATTGTGTACCAAGTTCCTTTCAATTACACCTGTACAAACTCACAGAATATAGTGGGGCTGCATAGGTGTCTCTGAGGGAATAATTTTGGGGATAACGCATAAGAAAGAGAACTCTGGTTAACTCTCAGATTGGAGTTTGCAAGGCTGGTAGGTGAAAAAATCCATACCTTTAATTTTCAAGCTGAGAACAGCTGATATAGAGTCAGAGACATAATATACACAGAACCACAATATGTCATTTCTACAGTTACATTTTCAACCACACTACTAGAACCATTTAGCAGCAAAAAATTCTCATATACCTCATACTACCAGTTTATATACTCACTATCTGGAAAGGGGGACTAAAAACAGGACCAAAAGAAGCAGATCTGGTTCTGAAAGACTGCATAAGTGATGTTCTTCTGTCAAAACAGTATACATGTTTAGCTTTTTTAATCTTTCCTCATAAGTCAATTTCTTCAGCCTCCTGATCATTTCTATTGCTTCCTTATGAATTCCTTTCAGGTTCTTTTGTGCTCCATATGTCAACATCACTCCAATGCATCTTATTTACCTCTTCTTTTCCTACTTCTTTCCTTGTATGTTAAAGAAGAAAAGATGCATGCCAACCCTGGCAACCTCTTCTGACTTCTTCACACTGCATAACACAAAACATTCACTTGCATAGAGTATAAGGCAGAGAAGGAAGGAGACTGAATGCAGAAGAATCAGCAGGAGATGCTCAGCAGCAGAACTGTAACTTCCTTGCCTCACCTCTGCTGTTTTGAGGAAAACACGAATGTCTATTCTTGGTCCGCATGCAGCCCTCCTGCTTAAGCAGGAAAAAGACAAAAAGAAAAGGAGTACTTGTAGCACCTTAGAGACTAACCAATTTATTTGAGCATGAGCTTTCGTGAGCTACAGCTCACTTCATCAGATGTATACCGTGGAAACTGCAGCAGACTTTATATACACACAGAGATCATGAAACAATATCTCCTCCCACCCCACTGTCCTGCTGGTAATAGCTTATCTAAAGTGATCATCAGGTGGGCCATTTCCAGCACAAATCCAGGTTTTCTCACCCTCCACCCCCCCACACAAATTCACTAGCTAGCACCAGCAGGAGAGTGAATTTGTGTGGGGGGGTGGAGGGTGAGAAAACCTGGATTTGTGCTGGAAATGGCCCACCTGATGATCACTTTAGATAAGCTATTACCAGCAGGACAGTGGGGTGGGAGGAGGTATTGTTTCATGATCTCTGTGTGTATATAAAGTCTGCTGCAGTTTCCACGGTATACATCTGATGAAGTGAGCTGTAGCTCACGAAAGCTCATGCTCAAATAAATTGGTTAGTCTCTAAGGTGCTACAAGTACTCCTTTTCTTTTTGCGAATACAGACTAACACGGCTGTTACTCTGAAACCTGTCATTATGCAAGGAAAAAGACAGACACTAATGTCAGTACTAGAAACACTACAATGGCATAGCTGTAGATGAGCTGCTGTAATGCTGCAGTGTAGACACTACAGTGGCAGAAAGGGTTCTTCCATCACTGTACTAGCCTTAGCCTGGCTTAACTACATCACACGGGCATGAAATTTTTCACAGCCCTGAACAATGTAGTTAAGCCAACCTAACTCTGTAGTGCAGACTAGCCCTAAGTAAAAAATGGAAGCCCAATGCAACCACATGTATTCCATGGCCTTAAGCCAAACTATGCATCTTAGAAGGATATTGTGTGTGTGTGTGTCTCTCTCTCTCTCTCTCTATATATATATACATACATACATACACACACACACACACACACACACAGCACCTTTACATTTCATGTGAGATTGGGTATTAGCCCTATGAGTGGACCTTGAACCCGAAATAATATCCTTCTTATAAGGATGCACACTATCAAATGAGTCAATTGCATTACAGAGAAGTGACCATGACTCCAAAATTAAAGTTGCAATAGGGTTTCTGTTTAAAGTCCAATTTCCAAATTTCTCTAAAATCCAGATATGGAGAATCTGATTATCTTGAAAACTGGTATGCCAGTTCAGGACTCAGGGTAAAGCAAAGTTAAGAGCTGTGAGGACAAGAGATGCCTCTATACAAGCTGAAAAAAAAAAAAAAAGAAACATTTAAAAAAAAAATTTCACTTTTTTTTGCGCTGAGGTAGGGGAAAAAGTGGAGAGGAATGTGAAACACATCACTGGGTGCTCACAGTGAGATCTCCTGTCTAGAGCCAAGAATTTTAAAACCTAAAAGAAAGAAGTTTTTTCTTGGCTCTGCTGGGTAGGAAGCAGAGCCGTAGCTATGAAGCCCAGAGTAGTGTACACATTTGAGAGAAAGCTGGGATGCCTGATACCACCCACCACTCTCTCCATGTCTTCCTCCTGTACAGCCCAGATCAACCTCCATAAGCCTTATCCTGGAAAGTGTGGGCAGACTGGCTCAGAAGCAGGAAGTTCCAGCCCCCAGCTCCAAATCATACTGGTTTTCCAATCACCAGGTGGTCCTCAAGCCCTTGGGATCCTCAACCTTATGTATGTAGGCTCCCCAGCACTCCCTATCCTCTACAGCTGATTATATACCTATAATGGGTTCACTGTTAATCAATCAAGCTAAGTTTCCAGCTAAGTTTGCTTTTTAGTTAACCACATCATCCCTTGATCATCATCTATGGAAAGCTATGCTGTTGGTTAAAAGGAAAATATACAGAACACAGCAGCTGCCTAAGTTATCGAAATATAGGACTGAAAGAAGAGAATTTTAAAGTTTAAGTCAGTAAAAATATAATGCTTCATTATGATATGAATAGGGTAAGCAATCAAGAATTTCAGAATAAGTGCTCACTCATAAATTTGCACAAAACAAACTGTGAATTAAAACCAATTTAGTTATGTCAGTGTAAGTGTGTGTGCAGACCAGACCTTAAATCAAGATGTATTTGCTGAGAAAAAGGCAGTTCAGTGCTTGCTGGAAAGGGACCGCTGAAAAATATGTAATCATGAACATTCAGAGTTAGAATGCAACTGTGATAGAAATTGCTCCTTAATTCATGTACATGAGAGGGGGGAAAAAATGAATTATGAGAGCTATGAAGGATATTTAAACTTTATATTTTTCCTTTGGCCACTTCACTGTTTTTTAGAAAAAGAAAATCCCACAGACCATTTGAGCCCCCAAGAGAACCTTGTATATATTATCAAGATATCAAAACCTTTACCCAATTTGCAATTATTTGTTAAATCCTAATACAAAAAGAAATGTTATAACACAGTATTGATCGAAGTTCAAATTAAATCCACTGATAAGCTCTGAAGAGTAATCAAAACTCAAAAAAAGTATATTTCACATACAAACAGTTTAGTTGTATCCAGAGCTCTAAAATATTTAACTGTGACACTACTTTTTGAAAGAAATGACTCAGTTTGATTGTTGATTAATTTACTATCTCACATTAGAGTTCTGGATTTCTTAAAATAAAAGATAAAATCTTACTCCCCATTTTAATTTGATTAATGTACATCAATCATGAATATGGATTTGCAGACTGATGCATTCTTTTTGTCAATTAACCACAACAGATAAGAGTTACCAGTGTAACTATAGTACCATCAAATGATATTCACTGAATGTGCTTACTGAGCAGATAGCTCAACTGCTTTTTATAATCAATATATTAGGATGAAAATAAAAAATGAAAATAAGCTGCACTTAATATTTGTAGTAACATCTCATGTTGTTGCAGACATACAGTGGCAGTTAACTTGTCAATGTATGATTACTTAAATCTATTTTATGAAGCTTATTTAGAAACTTTATATTTAGGCAGCACTTTACATTTTTAAATTTTAAATATTATACTTATTCAGAATTGGTGGTGACTTTAGAGGTGATAGGATAGAAGCTTGGTGAGAATTTTCCTGATATTTGAAGTCCAGCTACCACAACACCAGGTCATCCATTCCCTACCAATATCAGTTCTATATCAGTAGTTACATACATTTTAAAAAATGCCATTCCTAATTATTAGCTTCCTAAGCTAGCCTTTCATCATCAGTTTACGCTTTGGATGCAGCAAGTGAGTTAATATGACTCGCCACTTCCAATAATTAATAATAATAATTCAGGTTAATATGGCAACTAAGTTGAGTAAAATTCTACTTAAAGACGAATACATTTCAAAATGCATAATATGCATTAAAAATATTCAAAACCAGATTGGCGTTACCTGAAGGCTCCATAAAGTGGTCTGTACCAGCAGACAAATGAACAAGGAGTAAAAAGCAAGAACCAGAGGATACTCAATCCAAAATCAACCCCTCGTGCAGGATCAACACAAAACCAGGCCAAACATCCAAAGATATTTAGAAACAGTGTCACTGCATGGACTGTAGAACAAAAAAATAGTTTGCATTAACCTGAGTTTATGCAACAAATATTTCAATTGTTGACGTATTACCTAAATAAATGTAAAAGCTTTAAACAAAATACATCACATCACTCTTATATCAACATCCTATCTCTGTAATAGACTAGTCTGCTAGTGTCATACAACTGTCTGAAGTAATGATGAAGCTCCCAGTGTAGTTAAGCATTGAACAAGTACATTCAAGATTTTTAGAAAAAATAATATGTAGTATAGAGTTGGGGGTGGGGGGATATCAAGCTTTCACGAAAATGAGGCACTGTATATCAGGATTTCCAGCAAGTACTGATTTATAGCATCAAAGAGTTAAATAGATAAAGTTCTCTCAGCTGCAGTTGCTGACACATCTGCTACAGTAATTACTGGATACAAATCTTTGCAAATACCTTCTTATATACCGTTTAATTATTTCCTCTGAAAGTCAGACCAGTAAATATGTACAAGAACATGATGCTACCCTATTATTAGATATACAGAAGGCCTGCACTGTTCATGTCTTTTTAAAAAGCTTCTTAAAGTATACAAAGTAGTCTGTATTTAGCAAGTGAAATTCTCATTTGAAAAGAAAATTACAAATCATAAATCCTTTTAACGCAAATGTTATGCTATCTCTCAAATGAAATATAGCAAATTAGTATCCTAACACAAAAAGTATTTCACACAAACAAAAACTGAGAACTAATTCTATAAAAGCATAAATTCATATTGTATGTTCTAATATTTCTTATAACAACAAGAAATCTGTCACCTTATTAATACTCAGAACTATAGCTCCCAGTCTCCTGTTTTAGTTAGTACATGCCAGTGGCCTAACAAGTAAGAGATATCAAAACAGATATTAGAGGTTAGCTTTTTTCTAAGGTTTGTTAAAGAATTTAAACCAACATTATAACCCAAGAATTAATTAAAATGTATTTAGATTTTTCAGGTCAGAGAAGGCACAGCAGAAGCAAGACACACTGGAACTCTTACTCTCCAGGCGGTCTGAGGATAAGAACATTAGAGTCCGTGTTATCAGCCTCCAGAGGGTAGATGAAGACACGTCCATGCCTCTCTTTTCAGCACTCCCCAGTGGCCAAATCAGGAACAATTTTGCCAACACAAGGGAGACACTGGCCTTGGGGACACAGGGCAAAGTGCAGTAATTATGACTGTGTGAGATGGGAGAGACATCAAGCAATCTATCTCTGAGAGCTAATTTGGGGTGACTACTAAATTTAAGCTCTGGATAGTAGTTTTAAGCACCTTTCACCCAATTTACCCCTTCAAATCCAGACCTGGTAAGCAGTTACCGAAAGATCACGACCACCTTCCAAAGCAACATAATCTAACCCCTCCACCTCCACCCCGAAAAAAGCCACTCTTATCCCCAAATAAGAGCGTCTACACTGGGAGTTATATCGGTATAACTACTGCAGTTAAAATTCAGAGTTTAGTTTACACTGGTATAACTTTTCCATGTAGATATGCTCTTACTGATCTTAGTCTAGTTCTGAGCAGACATGCATCCTCATTGTAATTAATATCTTACAGCCTTGTTAACCCTGAGCTCCCTCTCAAACACTGAAGCCCATTGGAAGGAAAACTTGCACTGCTGCTGCCTGTGCTACACCTACTTTGTGGATAAACAGATGGTTTCATTTTGCAGAACGACCCATCTGGTATCTCTGATGAAAAGAAATTCATCTACAGCAGTTTTTGTAATAACCTCTGCTTGAACAGTCTAAAATTTACCATTATTATTCTGGAGAAAGAAGGGCCGTTGCCAGAGTACACTATACAAAGAATAAGATTTTCCTTTCTCCCTCAACCCAGTAGGACAGTCTACATCTGTTATTATTAGTACATAAAGAACAGTGCTCAATGCCACTCACTCCTGAAATCACTCTTTAAAATGAGGACTCCTCACTTATACCAAAATCCTAATCTATTTTGTTTTTTAAATGCATTAAACTTGTAATTTTAACAGAGTACCCAAAACCTACTGGTTCAAGGCAAAGCCATAAAACATCCTTAAAAGTGAAGATGGAATGACTGCCTGCTACTTAATTCAGCAAGTGGCAGGGTCCATGAGGGCTGTCAGAGGAGAAGAAAAATGTGTGGAAGGAATTTTCAGATCTTAGAGAGGGGAGTTTTCTTTCCAGGAATTGTTGGTCTTGGTGTCCTCTTTTCTTATTCTACAATAGTGGATTAGGGAAGAGACAGTGAATGCAGCAAACAATATCCTGCATGAGGAGAAGCTACTTTACTGTGCCACTAGCAGGAAATTGGGAAGTAGATAACCCCAGATGATAGTGATATGTAGAAAAAGCAGAGAGCCTACCAGGTTGCCACCCTGGAAATTCACTGCCCATGGACAAGCTTAGGAAGCCTGTTCACACACTGAGAACACAGCCTTGGACTCGCATAGCAGCTTCAGCTGTTGCCCCGAGTTATTTTGACCTTCGAAATTCTTCAGAACAAGACTGAGAAACTTAACATCCAACAGATGAAGCCTCTTGTCATGAGGCAGAATAGATTCATTCTGAGAAAAGAATGGATTACTTCAGGTAGAATTCAGTATTCACCTTGTAAATTAATCCTGGAAAATGTTGAAAAACCATCTTTCCACAAAGATGTGCAGGTATGGCAGACAGATTACAAATGTTTACGCTCACCCACTCTCCTGACTGAGCCCACTACAAGAAGGAAGACCCTCTTAATAAAGGGAGCAAACCAAAAAGGCTGTTCTTAGGGCAGAATCTGAATCTACAGGATGAAGTTCTGGCCTTCTTGAATCCTGTCAGAAAGAAGTTTGAAACATCCTGGAGCCAGCAAGACAGGGTAACAACATCCCTGATGTGACACCAGGCCACGAAAATCATCCAGAACATACAATGCTCTCCAGACACATGTAACCTCAGCAAAGAAACCATGCTTGAAGAAATGGTGCTGTTCAATTCACATGCGGCCAGCCTCAGATTAAGGTAGTTGGAAGTGCACAAGCCCTTGAGATGGTAGGTGCTGGGTCTCAGCAAGTGTCCACAGAGATGGGGGGGAGGAGAGAAGGGGTTATTAAGTAAGATCATCAGGTCTGAAAACCAGCAGCACTGGGGCCACTACGGAGCAGGCAAAAATAAGAGGTTTGTCCAACCTGCCATTCCTTAAGCTCCTAGTCAGAAGAGGGAAATGGCATCCCAAATCCCCTCTCCAACTTTACATAAAGCATCATAAAAGGAGGATACAGGAGTTGAACATCCAAGAACACAAACACGTAAGTCTGGCAAACACCATCAAGATAATCAACACAATAGAGTGTGCCTCAGACTCTGGTAAACATCCTTGAAAACTAAGATCAAGACTCCCTTCTCCCAACACAGTTTGTGACTGAGCCAATCTGCAAGGATGTTATTGTGGCCCACCAGATACAGGCCCTCAGGAAGCCAAGATAGGCTTCCACCCAAATTCTCAGGAAGTATGGCTCTGAAAAATGGGGGTGTGCTAAGAAAATTCCCCTGGTGGTTGACAGAAGCCACCACTGTTCTATTATTTTAGCTTGTAAAAACATGGGAGTTCAGGGAAAGAAAAGCCCTCTAGTTTAGCGAGGCACAACCCAACAGATGAACATAACAGAGACCACTAAATGGAAAGGGAGGATAACAAAGGCCAGAGATACATTCATGCCCATGGAACTAAATCCACACAGGCTGTTAAGTGTACTAGCATCTTTGGAGACTGCTCCTTACAGGGAATGGCCAGAGGTTCTGTACTAACAGACAGGGACTGAAACTAACGAAGCATCTGCAAACAGATATTCAGGACCACATGCAAACAGCGAAGTTTCTTGTAAGGAGTAGAGTAGGACTAGGTCCAGTTTAATCAGGAAACCAAGTTGAGACAGACACCAGAGCACCATGTCCTGTATATTAGCAGTTGGGAGGACTGAGGGTCCCTGAATGAAAATGCCATTGAGTTACAGATAAAGATGGAGGTTGGCAACCAAGTCAATTAAGATCTTCAGAAAACAGCCTGTCACTAAGGAAAGAGCAAGGGTCAAGGTGTTAAACTGAAAGCATCTGTTACTCAGGGCAACATGCAGACAATGACAATAATGCAAAAAGGTGTGCCTCTAAAATCTACCAAACAGAAACAGACACCTGAAAACAGACTGGAGGACTCTTCTGGCCTTAGAAGAGGCTGGGCAGCTACCAAGGAGCTGAACTTATCAGAACTGGGGCTGGCTGCCATTATGTCCAGGGGCCCCTGGACCTTGTGGAGGCAGAGAAGTTCCTGAAGAGCTGGGTAAGCTGTGAAAAAGCACTGCAAGCTGAGGAAGGATGATAAATATCAGAAAACCAGGCAGGCAGATTGCTAAGGCAATGAGTACCCCAAGAGGGGGAGCCCTGTCACTCTCGTGAAGTGTAGACCAAACCACTTAGGCATCCTCCTAAGTAGTATGTGTCACAGAGTCTAATCAAATGGCCAGCCTCAGTTGAAACCCACTACATGGGGTGGGGAGCACTGAGAGCTTGGGCTTCCACCCATTTCCCCTGTCCTTAAGCGGATTACTCAGGTTCCCAGCTTTTGGCCTTACTCTTTTCTCTCCTTTCTTTTTCTCATCCCCTCTTTCTTCCATAGTGTGCCTGCAAGACAAAGAAAAGGAATGAGAGGCCAAACTAAGGAAAACACAAGAAAGCCAAGTTAAAGTTTCCATCTTCCAAGGTGAAGAGAAAGCAGGTGTGGTTGAAATTAATATAATCGGGGCAGGCCTTCAGAACGCTGTCTCTTTGCTTCTAGTTATTGACATTATAATGCTGTCTGTTCCTTAATCCACTGTTGTAGGATGGGGGAGAGAAATACAGTGTTGTTATAATTCCCATTTTGTTTTCCCTCCCCTCCCCAGGCTTGAAGTTTGACATTTTTAGAAGTCAACCCCATACATGGCTGGAGTTAGAAACTAATGCTGATACCATTTGAAATACTGAATTCCAAGCTTTCAGACTGGATATGGATCTTAAGCCTATATCATACTTATTAGAGTGACTAGTTTTGCATTTCACATTTTTTTATTTTTTTTAAAGAGTGGTGATCCAGTAATGAATATAACAAGTTGTGGACTTCAAACTAGAGTAATTGTCATGGTTAAGTACTGAAAGCTGACTACTTTTGATTCATACACGGAGTTAACATTAAAAAAGTAAAAAAAGATTACCAAGTACACTGGTGTCCAGATTTGTTCAACCTGGAACCTAGTGGAAAAGTAAGGGGTGCCTGAAATCCACATCTGTGTCTAATAAGGAAAATGCCAGGACACAAACACTACAATTGTGGTGTAAACATACCGTATCCAAACAGCCACAAGCAACTGGAGAAGATGACACTGATCACAGCATAATGTACATTAAGATCTTGTATTACATTTTCCCACTGGTTGCCAGCAAGCTGCTGTGATCAAGACAGAGCAGTATATTTTGAAATAGTGCAGACCAAACACAAAGCCTGCAGAGACTGTGCTCTGAGTACCTCTGGTGTAGACAGGACAGTTTAATGTAGACAATATTCTTTTGTTTATTTACACTATACTAATCATCTTTTTAAGAAGACTATACCAACATTTAATTGTAGGCAAATTATTGTACAAGTATAATGTGAACAATCACAAGGCTATAAACTCTAAATGTGGCTGAGTGAGCACTAAACTGGGAGACCTGAATTCTATTCCTGGCTCTGCCACTGGCCTGCTGGTTGACCAGGGGCAAGCCACTTCACCTCCCTACAGTTTCCCCATCTGTAAAATGGGAATAATGACATTTAGATCCCAATAGATAAAAGGAGGTATTGACGAAAATCACAGCAAAAGAGCTAGGTATTATTACTATATTTAATTTGAAATTTTAGGGGGAAAAAAAATTTTTTTTTTGGTTCAACTTCCACTTATGTATAAAAAACAACAATTAGAATTAAGGCAAACAACAATTAGAGATTAGTTTGAAGATGGCAGTCATGTTTAAAAGGGAAAAATAAAATATACTAGAGCAGGTCTATGCACTAGTTATTTGTATGGTAATCTTTTCATAAATAATATCTAATATTTTAAATTTTTAATGAATTTTAGAAAGATTTCTATTTTACAGTTTTCTATCGCACTTTTCACCATAATATCTATTTTCATGGAACAATTTTTTTTAAAATGAGGAATCCTGTTAAAAATGTGTATTTAATTTCTAAGAAATAAATCTGTATTCTCTTAACACTGACATTATCCTTAGCCACAAAAAAGATTATTTCATTTCAACATCTGACTTTACACTGGCGATAAATTTTTTTTTTGTGAAATGTAGTTGTTGACTAGGTCAAAATAATAAAATGTACAGACTGTTAGGGTTCAGTAATTTTTTACTTACACATCCACAAGTAGTACATAATCTTTACTGTCTTCTGGAATTCTACAGGAATGTCTACAGAAAAATCCTGGTAGAAACAAGGACCCACTGGAAAATTCCCAGGCAGAGGCGGCCAATTATTTTTCCTGCCTGCAAGTCAAAAAAAAACAATAGTTTATAATACAATTTTATTATTTTCTTCTCTCTGCATATTAGAAAGAGATTTGCCTATTAAATTTGAACTGCTTTGTTCTCAAATTGTCTTACATATAGGATTCCTGCAGACCTATTAATAACTTGAACTAAAAAAGAGACTAACAATCTGCACTATGAAGATGTCAAACAGCAGAGCTAATTGAAAATGGAATGCAGCTGAACCAAGGAAAGAACAGGGTCTTCACGGGTCTGTGCAAAAGACTGTACAGGTGACAGAAGGATCTCATGAAACAACAAGAAAAAAGAAAAGTTCCCCAACTACTTCACATAAAAGAAGCAGGTACAAGCAGAACAGAAGCCCTCAAAATTCCCTGGATCTACAACTTAAGTGTACATGCCCCCTTCTGTGGTCCATGCTCAGCAGGGTCCTGTAGAAGGTTGGCAAATGAAAAGCATCCTCCGTACTCATAGCATCAGATTGATTGAGATGGTTGTGGTACCTGGATTTGGTAAACAAGTCCCTGTGTCTTTCTCTCAGACTGCCATTAATTCTAGATCTGTGAACAAAAGGTCCAGTACTTCATGTGGATCTAGCACAGTTTGTGGTCTTAACTTTGCTGAATAAAGCAGGGTGGATGAAAATCAATAATTTGTTGTTTTTCTTTTAAAAGATTTTTTAAATGTAAAACATTTTTTATTTCAATTATATACATTTTTCTTTTTAAAAATAAATTTAAAATTAAATTGAAATTATGACAGCCTATCCAATTTACTATAATCTATTAAAACATTTAAATTAAATAAAAAATAATATTCAAGGAATACATGTCTGCTGTCAAGGTTTTAGTGACAGTAAAACCACTGAACTGGTAGAAGTCACTGATTGGCTAAGTACATGAACCAAATTTCTGCTGATGTGCTAAACCAGCTTTTGACAGCAACAATCCCTTCTATAGGTTCAGAGATAATATTTTCTTCTTTTCAGCAAACTCAACTAGTTCCATCCAATGACTAGTTCATTAAAATTGGGAGTTGAAAAAGTAGAAAAGCTTGTTTTCCCTTTTCAATCTATGAATAAAAATGAGGTATGAGAGGCTGAGATCTATTAATTTTAAAAACATGAATGACATGGAGACCAGAAATAATCAAGTCAATCCTTCCTTTTTTGCTTTTGTATCTGGAATATTTAAGGTAGTCTTATTTAACCATTAAAAACTATTTTAAAATACTGTTTTTGTGGATTTTTAATTGAATTCCAATTTCCATCCAAATGCAGCTTGACAAAAACATCACATGTAAAACATTAATCATGTAGTAAATAGGACATGCATCATTCACCATTTTCTAACACAATAAAATGTAAAAATTAAGAATCTGAATAAGTATGTTAAGCTACATAACTGCTTAAATAAATATGTTTAGAATAGATATAGTGTGTCTTCCTGATTAGGAAAAAAAGTACCACCAAATTTAGTGTAGAGGCTACAGTTAGTTGCAAATTAACATATTTTAATAGTTATACCAACCAATAACAATCTATCTTTCTTTAGGGAAATAACTAAAAAATGCAAAACAAGATTCAAATCAATGCTTCAGATTAAAGATTCACGTTAGCTGATTTAAATCATGATTCAAATCAATCCACTCGCTAAGTGCACAAGCCTGAAGAAGAGGGGCTTATCAAGTAAAGCAATCTCTCTTGTGGTGCAGTCAAGAAAGCAATACACATCAAAGGCCGACCACTCTAAGGTTTGGAGAACCTTTATGAACTTGTGTGACGAAATGAGGATACTTCTCATCAAAGACATGGCACAGTCATCCTGGATTTCCTGCAAACTGGTCTAGTTATGGGCTAGAGCAGTGTTTCTCGCATGCGACCACCAGTGGCTTTGTGTGTGGCCTTGACAGCCTCCCAAGCATAGGTGGAGATTTGAGGGTGAGGGGAGAAGAGGAAGCAATGGCCCCTCCCTGTAGCTCCCAGCTGTTGCTCCTGAATAGCTGTTACCAAGAGCAGTGGGATGCACCACCTCGATGTTTGCTCTGGCACCGGCAGCAGGGATGGGCACCCTGCACCACACAGCCCTCTCGGCGGCTCCAGGCACCACCTCTCGAGACATGAGGCCAGTGAGCACAGTGCTGGAGATGACTTATCACTGGAGGCGGCTGTGGTGTTCAGTCGCTGGACTGCTCCCCTGGCAGTTCCCCTCCACCCATACGGTCAGGGCACAGGGAGGTGGATTTTTTTTTTTTTAAAATGGTTTTTTCCTCAAAAAGCATTCTATCTAAAGTTAGTTTTAATTAAGATACATTATAACTCAAAGATCTCTCATCATGGGATAGGGATTATAAATTCTAGAAGATACCACCAGAGATGCTCAGCTTTGAAGTTCTCAAACTGTGGATTTGTGTCTCCAGAGACAACATGCTTGTTAACAGCAACAATGTTTTTAAACAAAACACACAACACAACATAATATAATATGAGAAGAGAAACAGACCTCAACCCAACTGTCCCTCTGCAAATGTGTGTATGCAGAGTGAATCCCTTACCTCGCTCTAAAATTGCAAAGTTTCAAAAAGCTCAATGAATAGAAGATTGTTGGGGGCAGAATAGATCTGGATATGGAGAAGTCTGGAGATAAATGTGAGAAGGGAGGGACAGGTAGTAGAAACAAAAGTGAAACTGTTCGAGCAGCATATTCCAGAAATCTTGAGATCTTTCTGAGTGTAGCCTTCATTGATTTGAGATCTACCATACCATTCTCTCACTAGAAGGGAAAACCTATAATGGCAGCAGGCCATAAAAGAGACCCAGTTTGGGAATATTTGAATGAAGTTCCTCTACCTGTGGGTCAGACAGGCATGCGTGCAAAATGCAAACAGTGCAACAAAGAAATGCAAGGCCTGGTTGCCCGAATGAAACAACATCATGAGAACTGTTCCTTCTCAGGAGGAAACTGAGTTGAAGATGATGAAAGGAACATGCCTGAACATGCAGGATCTTCAGGTTGGTAAACTTTTTTATTTCATAATTCTTTCTTAAGGACTGCCTCTCTTCCTTCTGGACTATTCTTGAATTCTTAAGTTTGAGCAAAAAATATAGTTGTTACTCTATGGTACTGTCATTTTAGATGCAGTTGTGATAAAAAATAAATAGCTGAAATAGGCAGATCTCCCTTTTACCATTTCACCTTTAAAGTAGTACCGAGCGTCAGTGAATGCAATGAGTAATACTAAATGAGCAGTATGATAATTAAATAACTGCATTGACTTATTTTGTTTAGGAGAATCCATCCTCAACATACAGGATTCTGAAGACTATCCACCTTCAAGATCACCATCATTTTCTATAGTTTCAGAGTTATCTGCCAATGATAGTGTTTCAGTCACATGATGTATGTCACATAGCCACAGTATATCACCTGTAGCAAAAAGAGAAACAACCATAGATAAGTTTGTGATAAGAACCAGCAGATTACAAAAAGAGGTAATGGATGAAAAAATTGTCCGGTTTGTTTATGCAACAAACTCTCCTTTCCGTATGATTGAGAACCCACACTTCATTAACACAGTCATTAAGACCAGGATACGATCCACCCAATAGAGCAGATGTTGCAGGCAAATTACTGGGTAAAGCGTATGAAAGAGAAATTGAGCAGCGTGCAAAAGGTCTAGAGGGTAAAATTGTTAACTCGAGTCTTGATGGGTGGAGCGATGTCCACAATGATCCTGTTGTATGTGCTTGTGTGACAACAGAAGAAGGGAATGTCTTCCTTACAGAAACAATTGATACATCAGGAAATGCACACGCACAGAATACTTAAAAGAAGTAGCAGTGAAAGCTATAACAAACTATGGAGAAAAAAATCAAATGTCTAGTATGCAGCTTGGTCACAGACAATGCTGAAAATGTATCCAAGATGAGAAGAAATTATTTAGAAGAGAGTCCCAAGCTAATATCATACGGTTGCCGTGCTCGTTTGATGCACCTCCTAGCCAAAGACTTCAGAAATAAAGGCTAATGTTGTTGAAATTGCAAAATACTTCCGTAACCACCACTTTGCAGCAGTTGCTCTGAAAAAAGTGGGAGGAACCAAGCTAACTCTCCCACAAGATGTGCAATGGAACTCAGTAGTGGACTGTTTCGAGCACTATATCAAGAACTGGTCTAATCTGATGACAGTTTGTGAACAAAATCATGAAAAAATAGATGGCACTGTCACAGCCAAAGTTCTCAACATAGGGCTTAAGAGAAGTGTTGAACACATGCTGAGTACCCTGAAGCCTATTTCTGTAGCCTTAAACAATTTGCAGGTTTTGTTTTATTGCTGACGCTGCTGAAATTTGGAAGAAACTGAGTGAGATCTTAAAAAGAGAAATATGCAATGACAGAGATAAATTACAAACATTAAAAAAAACGAATGGGACAAGTACTATCTCCAGCTCATTTTCTTGCAAATATTTTCAATACTCGATACCAGGGTCAAACCTTAACTGCTGAAGAAGAGGAGCTGGCTATGACATGGACATCCAGCAATCATCCCTCCATCATGGCAACTATAATAAACTTCAGCGTTAAGGGTGAACCATTCAAGAAATATATGTTTGCTGATGATGTTTTAAAGAAAGTCACACCAGTGAACTGGTGGAAATCACTTAAGCACTGGGATTCAGAGACTGTTGAAGTGATAATCTCACTTTTAACAGCAATAGGTTCTTCTGCTGGTGTAGAAAGAATATTTTCTTCCTTTGGACTAATTCATTCCAAACTGAGAAATCATTTGGGACCTGAAAAAGCAGGAAAGCTTGTTTTTCTTTTCCAGATTATGAACAAACCAGAAAATGAAGGTGAAGATGACTGAGGTAGCTGCAGAAGCCAATAATTTTAAGTTTCTCATGTTCACCTGGCTCACATAGTTGATTTAATTTTGGGGCTTTTTTTAAATATTTCATTTAACTATTTTAGTTAAACAATTTTAACTAAAACAAACCTG